GTCTTGTCTCGGTCTCGATACACTCTGGTCTTGGTCTTGTCTTGGTCTCGGGTTAGGTGGTCTTGAACACAACACTGCACCAAACTAAACAATTCACAAACACCCGCTTTGGATGTTATCATCCCATAGAATGGCCATTATTAGTGGTTATCAGCTGAATTGAATGGCTTCAGGCGGTCCCTCCTGTGCGTCCTATCAGGCTCAGTAGGTTGTTATCTACCATTCGTATCACTGATCACAGCAGCTTGTTGCTGATGGGACTATTTTTTTAAAGGTTTTTTAAAAAACCTTTATTTACAATTTACGTACTAGTTTGAGTGGAAAATCAAGAATTTACTACAAATAAATGCCAGATGTATCAATCATAAGACGTTAATTCGGCATCTAAAAATAACTCAGTAAAGTGTAAAACCCGAGGGTTTTCGTTGATTTAAAAACTTATTTATAATTAACCTACGATTTTTGAGTATATCAATGATTTACTTCAAATAAATTTAAGAAGAATTAGGATGGATTTTCTTCTGTGATTGCATGCAAATCGGTTCTGAAAACGTTTCAATATTTTTGATTAAAAATAATAAAAATCATTCCCATCACATCATTCCCAGCTGCCTCTCCTCCCACTCCGTCATCTTTCTCCCTCATAGACCAGCCACCTCTGCACAATCATGTCAATCACCTGCTGGCCATGCCATCTCTTTATGTCAGGGTGGCCTATTTGAAAATAAGAAGAGAAAGCGTAAGTTTTGTCTTCTGTGACTAGTCCTGTGACTATTTATTTTACATCCATCCATTTTCTAACACTCTTGTCCCTAGTGAGGTCAGGAGGGGTGCTGGTGCCTATCTCCAGCGAAAGTTTCTGGCGGTAAGAGTATGCTGAATAAAAATTGCTCCACAACATAGAACAGGTTAGTTATTTAACACAAATGTGGAGTTTTACTGTTTTTACATGAAGTAGAATGTAGTTGAAACAGACTGAATACACTTCCAGCAGTTGATGTACATGTAGTTAGAGACATACCTTGTTACAAAAGGTAACAAGGTATGTCTCTTGTTTGTGTATGTAAATCAACTTGATTGGTTGATTTACATACACAAATCAACCAAACATGTAAGTGGGAATGTGTTGTTCCTCCATTTGTCTGACAATCTAAATTACTTTCTTAATTTTTTAGTTATATAGTTTCTACTATGAATTTGAATCTTAGGATACTTTTATGACATGTACAAGTATTTTTATTTTTTAAAAGAGTCTTTTCTACAAGAAATGAAAATGGCAGCACCAGGTCTCTCCTGTCAAGCATTTCTTAAAATGCTGGACCAATGAACCGTCCGCTTTGGCCGTGTGAGTACTTTGATGTACATATCCCAGAAGGGCTGTCTAACTCCATTCTTGAGTAGTTATGTTCTTCAACTTTTCTGGACACACTTGAATTAAATGGCTGAGGTACCACCTCATTCATTCAGCATTCAGATCATATGCAGTAACATCAAAATGAATTGAATGAGATGTTTTGTGCCAGAGACACACCTAAAACTTGAAGAACACATATCCTGATGCCTGGGATTTGGACACCTATGTCCTTTTTTTTATGTTTTTTTAATTTTTTTATATTATTATTATTTATCTCTCATTTTAAATTAGACAGGAAAGATCTCGACTGACGGCTTCCTGAAAAGTCTTTTCGAGTGGGAAACCATAGGATATGAGTTGGATAAAATGTTAAGGAAGGATCCCTTCAAGTTTTAAGCTTGTACCCCAGATATGCTTGCATTTTCAGTGGATGGAAACTGCAAACATTGCCGTTTTAAGAATGCAGCAAGGTATTGTAAAATATGTACAATATAACAATTCTTTGTATAAGTTAGTAATGTTTACTACCTCTGGACCATAACACCCCATGAAATGTTTTTTATTGCTTGTTTTTCAGATTGGAGGAACAGGCTATATTTTAGGACCTTTACATAGCCAAGGATGAGACGTAGGAAAATTTGTGGACTACATACACAAATCAACCAAACATGTAAGACTTACAGATTGTAAATGTACAACAACAGTAACCTTTTAGCCTGTGATGACAGCATGCCTGATTGAATTTTATGCATTCTCGGTTTCTGGAAGAGGTGTTTGTGGTGGGCAATGGTCAGCAGCCAGGGAGATCTCTCACAGATCCAGCAGCAAGCTGTGTGTGTGTGTAGACATGGAGTGCTACTTAGTGCCCTGAACATGTATAGGGGTGAGATATT